GAACTTGATATATCATAGGAAATGTTGTAGGAGAATCTGTTGTAGAAGAATCCGTGGAGAGTCTAATATCTAACATAATAATCAGTTTGAGGCTTAAAGCTTACTCAAAACATGAAAACTCATCCTTTGGCCTTTTACTCGGTTGAACATTCATTTTTCTGCCTTTAAGTGTTCCGCTCACCAAATTTCAACTGATTTTGGGATGTATATAAGCCTATATTTTAGGTGTTGGTTTGTTGACACTTTGTGAGTTTCTGTGAGTAGTTGCTCGCCCACTCCCGGGATGTTTGAGCTGTCCAGTAGTACAATTGGAGTGTTCGACATTGATGAGATGTCTGACATATCTGTTTTATATTTGGATATTTTACAATAGAAAAAGACTTTGATGGTAATCTAACAACAAGGCTTTATGATAAACGTAATGACTTCAATTTTTCAATTCGTCATATGTAGCAATATACCCTTATCACCTGCATAGGGGTTTTTTGTCTACCTGTTGATTCGATACGCAAGAGCAAACTCTACGTATGAACAATTTCTAATACGAAGCAAGCTATTGACTAACAAGCTGATGAAACAAGGATATAAATAGTCTTGTTTGAAGTCATCATTTTGCAAGTTTTATGGTCGATGCAATGACCTTGTCATCAAGTACAACCGGTCATTAAGCAAATGCTGACTGACGATTTTCATACTTATTGTTATGTTATTATTTACACACTGAATTGTGTACGGATTTTTCTGTTTGTTCCGATCATGACAAGGAGCACACGGCGGGTGTGATTGGTCGGCAGGGGATGCTCTCTCCTCCATGGCACCTGATCCCACCTCTGATTCTTTTGGAGGTCCTTGTTTGCTCTGCTCCTGATTTGTATTATGTAAATGGATTTTGAGCTTGAATACTGTTCGTTATCTCCATATTTCATGTTTTAAGTAAGCTCTCCTGGGCACTAACGCCGTCGGACCGTCTTATATCTGACATTATGAACAGTTATCGGCTTATAATCATTATATAATGAGATTTAAAGCATTTTAGAATTTGTATTTTGTAGAAATTAAAGGTAATTACAAAACTGTTTAATTTTCAGTTTGCTCCATTTTTAAAAAAAATCTTTTACTGGTTCTGTGATTTATCTGGGAAGAGGAAATGTACTAGTATTTCATTTCAACATATGATTACATGTCTTTTTTCCATCTATCTTCATGATTATTCATGGACAGCAGAAAAAAATGTTGTTTTCTCTGTTATTTAAAATATCAAGAAGAAACATCAAGTCATTAAACCTAATCATCAAATGTCTGTAGGGTTGAATTAAGTTTCACCAGAAGTTATTGCTAACAGAAACTTTGTTAGTTGATAACCTTAGTAAGCTAAGCATCGAATATTTTTTCATAGTAGTCTGTCTAATATGAAATTCCATCATTAATAGTGGATACTAGGAAGCCTGGCTACATTGACCTGACATCAATGCTTGAGAATAAATAGGCCTCCATCTCATATCCTCATATAATTCTTTAAAAGAACAAAACCCTGCCCACAACACTCTAGGCTGTAACACTGAATACTGAATAAATATCTCTTTTTATATATAATAGAAATAAGAGTTCCATTTTTTCATTGTATATTTTATTACCTGTTTTAAGTGTTAAACAATCAGCTTTAACTGCTGACAACACGGTTAAATCAGAGCTCTAGATAGCCAATAAACTGGTATATTTTTCTGATTTTTCTATGTATAGAAATCTCCTTTAAAGATTCAGTTGCTTGTCACTGGTTGAAGAATAGGAGATGCGTAGGATTAGGGGTAGGATTACAATTTAAACCTTGATAGAATTAAGGGTATGAAGTCTATCTCTTAGTTATAATCATAAAATAATTGATAAAAAAATAAATTATAGAGTACATCTTTAAAAAAAATGTGAGAAAATGCGTGGCAAGCATGTATTTTTAACAGACAGTAAATTCTGTATTGAACAGGATAAATTTTAAATACCAATTTTTTAATATTTCAGTTTCTTCCATGAAATGACTGACAACCAGTTTTTACCAACATTTATACAGTCTTCAAAATTCTTCTACATTCCTGTTTATCTTTTACCATTTTTAAACACACAAACTGTTTGCATAATTGTAATGAGGAGCTATAATTATATCCACAGTTTTTCAAGAATTGTGGCCCAACAGGGGACCAAGTTGACTGTTTGTAAAAATCTTCGTTTTTAATCAGGGGCATCTTGCAGATAAACTTTTTTCATGATGATAAAGAACTTTCGAGCTCATGTCTGCTGTTATCCTTTAAAATCTTCTTTAACCCCGAGAATCAAGAAGACAAACACCAAGCAATATGATATTGATGAAACAGTTTTCTACCTAATAGTAAAATTCATACTACATAACTTCAGAGTTCCAGTCCGAGGTGAGGCTCATAAATACAACGTCAGTCATCTTACCTAGGTGACTAATAAGGCCCATGGACCTCGTCTTCGCTAAAAATTCAATATGCAAATAACCATTTCTAATGACCGTATTTATATCATTTTTCCAGAAGAATTCTAGCTAATACGTTGAACGTAGTTCCCTTTAATTTCAAATTAATGTTCACGGAAGATGGCATACACGATACTTTTTTTAGTGTTTACAAAGCGCAAATTGTTTTTTTTAAACAAATGACTTACAAGAAACAACCACTATAAAGGTGAGTTGTAGAAAGCAAAGATGTAGAGTAATTATCCGTGGAATATGTTTACCTGGTACTCTACATTGACGTCATTAATCTTAGGTCTATCAAGGTGTAATGTGAAAAATAGATATCAAAGTAATAACCTAACACTAATAATTGTAACATAGGAAAATAATTATCATAAAATAGTTTCCGGCAGTACCATTACAGTACATTATTTAATTATCACTGAAGATTGTATAACATTTTTGTGATATTTGTAGTTATCTTTTTTTAAAAAGTATTATTATGCTTTGGATTTTGATGTAGTCATAGTTCTATCTAAGAAGTGATAAATCGGAGTTTCCACGTATTCTTGTTACTAATGATAATAAAGCAGATTGTTGAGAAACATCTTCATTGTTGTTTTAATTAATGAGCTTTTAGAAAATGTTTATTCTCTTTTTTACAGTCTGACAAAAATTATTTTTACCATGTTTCTATGAAATTACGAGAGTTGAAATGAATTCCTATCATATTTACAAGACCTATTGTTGATGAGCCTCTAACAACATAATACAGTCGCCGTTGCACGGAATTTCTAATCTCCATAATTTCTAGTTTTGAAAGGCAGAATCTAAAATCTATACACTCTGAATACAAATTGCATTCTTTTATTCATTGTAACTAGAAAAAAATAAGATATTTCTAACGGATGCTGATTAATGAAAACAGGGATCTTATTTTATTTGAAGACGATTTCATATAAGCCTGTTATAAGAGTCTTTTTGAAGATAATGAGATTAATTTTTGTCCCTGCTTGACTCCATGGAAACAGGAGATTTCTGTCATCCAATACAAGTCCACGTCCCTGCCTTGCTATTGTTATTCGGCTTCTTCAATTTGATGAAAAATAATCGACTTTTGTTCACTTATAATTTATGATGACATTTAATGATGTTCAGTGCCCAATCAATAGATCAATGATATCTCGTATTGATGACTAATGATTCACCATACCTGTAATATCAAGTACATACACAATCTTTAAAAATCTCTTTCATTTCACATAATTTATTAAATTTATTTTGCTTTCCATGGCTTAAATTCTGTTATTCCAAATCCAGAGGATTATATTTTTTTTCATTTGACTGTATTATTAATTTTCAACGGGAAATATCATCTGCTAAAAGGCGTGGATTTTATTTTGTTATCTAAAAATCTTCTTTATTCTGATTTATACACATATATGCATTTAAAAATTAGTTTTTAAATATTTATAATTTGAATTGCAGTTTTTTAACTTGTGAACAAACTGGTGCTCAAAATCTTTGCAAATGTTAAAAGAAAAACGCACTTTTCATTATGTGAAATACATTGATTATGTAATGATAAAAGTTCTCAAAATGATCACTATCGCGGCTATTTTTTTAATGGTAAGCAAAAGCGGAATGATTTAAAAAAAGAGGTATCAAGAATACCCCTTGAATCTGAAGAATGAAATGCTCAAGAACGCATTTATGATTTAAATTTTATGTAGAGTCAAATTTAAACCAAGAGCATAATTCTTCAAGTAACAATACAATGCATATAAGTATAGTGTTAACTTCGTATAAGTTTTATTTTATGATTGCCTTTGAACTAAAAATCCCTGGAATTTCAGTTACAAATAAAAAGTTAGTGGATGTGAAAAAAAATGTAATTAATGATTCAGAACCTGGTGTAAGACGAGACTCAATCATGTACCACTTGGTGGTACAGGTATTCCTTACAGTGTTAACTTACAATGTTTAATGATGGTTGTTTCTTTGTATGAGTACATAGGTTGTATGAATAGACTTCAAGTTACAGATTTGTTGTGCATTTTTCTCGAAAAGACTCATAATTACTGCTTATGATTGCTAAATCACAAGCATGTAGAAACGTGTACATGTATTGAATTGACAGTAGGCACACAACTTAAAGAAAAAATACGTTTCTATGACCTGCTTTTTCTCTGACTTTATTCAAACCTGAATATAAAGATACCCATAATTAAGTACAGTGCCAGTTATAAAATATTCAAATTAATGCTTTATTTGCTTTCTAAAATAGTTTCTATACACGTCCTACTGTGGGATGCTACCGAAGACAGAACATAAGGTGGCTTGTGCATACAAATAATGTTATTCAATTTCTTTGAATACTTCTTGTGACTCAGTTACCGTACATTGCAAATCAATCGTTCATTACACTGATGAAAAGTCGGACAATTAAATTAAATACGAGTTTGTCATTAAGCACTATTTATTGTACAAATATGCTTCAAGATGTTTTAAAATCCCTGTCTTTGTTTTTCAGACAGTAATTTCGTCCTAGGTAATGCATTATCCAATGGATTTCCCATTGTCTATTGCTCTGATGGCTTCTGTGAACTTACGGGGCATTCGAGAGCTCACGTCATGGGTAAAAGCTGCGCATGTAAATTCCTTTATGGAGAAAACACAGAGGAAGAAGGAAAAGCCAAAATAGAGGATGCCCTGGAGCAGAAAGAAGAAATCAAGACAGAGATACTGCTGTACAGGAAAGACGGTACTTATGGCTATCAGTCACACTAATTAGATTCATGTCACATCTCTAGGCATCGACCTTGAAATCTTTGAAATCCCAAAACGTTCCTCAGTTCATCAGCTGCTTCTCGGACATTTATCACACTCTAGAACAGTGCAGTTTATTTCACTTACTTGTAGTGATTTAAAAAAAATAGTCAGTTGATAGAGTTTGATTGAGAGTAGACTAGTCATTGGTAAGTCGCTTGTTGATCGTAAGGCTTTAAGAACCCTATAAATTGCGATGTACTGTTCACTAAGGGGATCAGAAGGTATTAAAAGGCCATAGAACCCGTGCTTGCAATCATTACTTTGTGATATGACAAATACTGCGGTAAAAACTCTGAAAGGAGTTAGGAATTCTGTGCTCCTCTCTCTTTACTTTTCCCATATTAAAAGCACCTTCCAGCTTTCGCAGAAACTTTTTATTTCTTTATTTTGAATTTTTTTAGAATTTTTTTGTTAATTGTTTTTGAGTATTTTAGTCAAAAACCAGAAGAGTTCAATAGCATTAGAACTCTCTGTCTCTCTCTCTCTCTCTCTCTCTCTCTCTCTCTCTATATATATATATATATATATATATGTGTGTGTGTGTGTGTGTGTGAGGGGGTGTGTGTGTGTGTGAGGGTGTGTGTGTGTGTGTGTGTGTATATATATATATATATATATATATATATATATATATATATATATATATATATATATATATAGACGAAAACTACCTTTCTCGCAGTTTTCAATTTGGTATAATGTACGTGCACAGTACCTCATCATATATTACAGATCTATTTTTTTTTATTTCAGTAAAAGTTAATGCATCTGAAAAATGTAATCTGTAAAAGTCCATTTTAATGCTGTTTGATTTCAATAAGACTTGATACTCCAGAAGTAAGTTTATTTAGCTTCGATGCATTGCATTTGTATTGCTATGGATACTAAAATAAGATAATTTGATAAATTATCACAAAGTGGCTGCTACTCCTACAATTTGGCTTGATTTCAATAAAATTAGAAACAAAAATGGACTACATCAAGATATATATTTCTCGATTTCGATGAATGGTGTTGTCATGGTTACTAAAAGTAGAAAAATCAGGGAAATTTTACAATGCTATATATCCCACAGATTTAATCTGATTTCAGTATAAATCATGGTTAAAAAGATTACGATGCGTAATAGATGTATGGATTTTTAATTTTCTCGATTAATGTTGTTATGGTGATTCAAATTTCTGTCAAGGTGTAACTCCCTGTACAGGTTTGGCCTAATTTCAATAAATATGGTTCTAAATTACATGTACATCTCTGTTTATTATTCTGTATAAACAATTTTTTTGCTATTCAGGATGTCGCAATGGTTGCTATAGTAAATCTGTTTTTCTTGCACCAAAACGCTGCCCCTTGTAGTTTAGACATGATTTCACTAAAATTTGATACACATATAGCATTAATAAGACACACACCTCTATTTGTGTGTAAAGATTTCTGATTTCATTAAATGTTCATTGTAAGACATGTACATAAGACCTTGGACCTGCCCACATTGTTCCTCTAACCTAGCTTTCCAATTACTAGTATTTGAACAAATTTGTATTTTGGTCCTGTGGTTCTTGCAAAAAAAAAATTTAAACAATTTCCTATATGCCTATTTTTACTACCAACATTTTTTCTCCTCTTGGTATTTTAAGAGACTTGGATTTTCTTTACCCATTGATGCCCTGGCAAGTTTGGTTAAAACTGATCTAATGGTTATTAGATGTCAAAAAATCGAAAAGTTAGCAGACAGGGGCTAAGGTGGTTATATATTGAAAGAACACCGTAACCTTTTTTACATACATCTATAGTTATTTAGGCAAACGGTTTGCATGATGATATGAGTAGTTAGCCTTTTATTAAGATTGTGGAATTCTTGTCCCTGGGTCCAGGACTCAGGCTTCAAAGTGGGACTAAGTGGGTCATTCATTAAAAATAATCGGATCGCTGATAATCTTCTGTACTCAGTACATCTAGTAGACACCGTGCTTATATGATTATAAGGGACAGCCAACCTTTTACCACAATTGTGAAACTCATGTACCATGAGAACAAGGCTTAGGTCCAAGAGTGGGGCTAGGTGGGTCATATTTAAAATACAGAAAACTTTTGAAAAATCTTTTTTATTCATGATCATTAAGCAGAAACACTGTAAGTATGATGACAGTTTGCTCTTATTCTCAACCAATCTTGTAAAATTTATATTCTCTGGGCCTTGAGTTCAGGATGGACTAAAGGGGTCATGCTTTGAAAATGTATTGCACTTTTCAATCTTCTTTTTACTTAAATGCTTCTAGCAAGTAACATTTTTACATGACTATTTTTAGCAGCTAGTCCTTATTCACAGTTATGAATTGAATGTCACCTGATTTCAGTCCCAAGTAGAGTTGGTCATATATTGCAAATTTATTATTCATGGTACCTCTGGTTTTTACATACAGTCATATTGAAATGTTTTAATCAAAGTACTTCTGAAAATATTCTTTATTTCTGGACCTTTAGAAAGCAAATTGTAAACCTTATGGTAGTAAACCTTGATGCCTTTCCTAAATTACGGAATTTGCGTCCCGAGGGCTCAGGAACAGGACTACGTTGATCACTAATTTAAAATGAAGTTATATTTCTACAAATAATTATACTCCCGAACGTCTGGGAGACCAACTTCATTTTATGTGATATTATTGATAAAAGATTTCTCTACGAAATTGTAAAATTCACTTATCAAGCGTCTTTCGTTACAGTGCCAGGTGGGGCTGAGATAATCATAATATAAAATGTGAAGATAACGAATCAATCTCATAAATCGTAAACAGAACTAATCGTAAACGGCATAAACACGGACCCTTGGAAACATCAGAGGTGGGATCAGGTGCCTAGGAGAAGTAAGCATTCCCTGTAGACCAGTCGGTCAAACCAGCCGAGAGCCCTGTGTATTGATCAGGTATACGGAGTACTCTGTAGTCAAACTGAGAATTGAAGAGCAATACCTTACAAATGGTATCAAACATGTCAGACAAAGTACGACCCAACGATAAGCTGTATTTACAAACAAGTTAATTATAACGACCGTAGAATTTGCTAAAAGCTGACTTTAACCTGGATTTTTAAAATCCTTGTTAAATCATCTTATTTTTTCAGTAGCTTGCCTGGTTTAAAAATAGATCTTACTCGAGCATGTTCTTGCGTACCGAATCAGCTGGGAGATATAAATACCATATGGAGGTGATGTTGGAACATTACTGCGTAAATAAAGGAAATTGAAGATGGAAAAGCTTAAGTCATCCTGCTTCTCATACAGTTTAGTTATTAGTTGGTCATTATCGTCCAAATATTCCAACAGATTGTTAGAAGACCTGGTCTCCGAATACTACATATTGTCAATGAGGAACATCTTTTTGATTTCGACTTCAGAGAACTTGTATGTAGAATTAGAATGATTTTTAAAAAGTAAATTTGTAGATGACCATTCAAAATATATCAAAATTTGCGAGTTCCACTTTTATTGAGGAAGCAGTTGTATATGACTTCAAAACACCCTCTTTAAATTATCGTGAGCAATGGTTGTATAAAGCGTAGAAATTCGTATGTTTTGATCCTTTTATGTTTGAAAAGTTTTGAAATTTTAAATTTTCCAAAAGTTCTTTGGACTTTTATACAATCCACATTTGATTTTCACCACTTCTTAAGTATGAAGTTGCACAATAGTCTGAAGTTTCTCCTTCACAGCAGTGAATATTTTGGTGAGAAGTAAGGATACAGGTTTGGTTGAATATTTACTGCATTCTGCAATATATCCTTTTAAGTATTTTCCGTATGAGAATCACATGATACTCAGGTAACCGTCAAGGTCAACGCCCCTTGTGTAAATTTAATAAATTATATATATATATATATATATATATATATATATATATATATATATATATATATATATATATATATATATATATATATATATATATATATATATCTTATGCGATAAAATTGAAAAATATATGATTAAGGTTTCGATCAAACAGGTCATTTTTCATGGAAATCCACAGAAGAGTTTTCAATTTTATAGAAACAGATTTTTTGTTGAATCCTTTGGTTCCAATCGGTTACTAATGAAACAACTTTTTCGAGTTCCGTGCAGTAATAATGTAAATCAACCATACATAATTATACTGAATCTTAATTATTCAAAATATATTACACAAGCAGAAAAGCATTAGTTTTATGACCTTAAAGTCTCACGAGGGAGTACAATATTAGTTTTAAACATTTCTAATACAGTTTTAGTTTTGAACTACATATAGTGATTTGTAGAGCGAAAATTATCATCAACTAACATTATTAGGAACTGAATAGTGAAGCCTCTTGATAATAAAAAAGTTAACATCGTAATTACTTGCAACACAGTTTCAATTATTAACGAGATTTTGAGTCTAAAAATATCTGTTCAACATGTTTATATCTGACTTTCAGGTAAAAAAAAATATCTATTTAACATACATGTATTTCTATCTATTTAACATTTTTATATCTATTCAACGTGTTAATATCTATTTAACATGTTTATATCTGATTTTAACATGTTTATCGAACATATTTAGTTCTGATTATAACATGTTTATATCTATTTAACATGTTTATATCTGATGTTTACATCTATATTAACATGTTGATATCCGATTCTAACGTGTTTTGTAACATGCTTGTATTTACTTTTAAAATGTTTATATCTGATTTTAACATGTTTATATCTGAATTTAATTGTTTATATCTGATTTTCAGGTAATTCTTTTACGTGCCTCCTGGATATTGTTCCCATTAAAAACGAAAAAAGTCAGGTTGTTTTATTCTTGGTCTCCCACAAAGATGTGTCTCACGGAGATGGAATCAAAGAAAACAGTGACTCGGGAACTGAGGGTAATTTTCTCCTATAGTTTTTGATGTTGGATCCAGAAAATACTCAGTTTATCTTTTTTTCTAATTTTAAATCCTCTTTAAAAAGTTTGCTTTTAGAATAGAATTTTTTCCGTTGTTTTTTTTAATTAAAATTTAGCTAGAGGATGTTTATCTTTTTTTCATTCTGTTAGTATAAAAATATATGTTTTCGTGCAACCACAAGCTGCAATCTTGCATACAAAATATATATCTTACTTAGTCAACATCCATCCATAAAGCCTTGATATACCCTTTAGAAACTTGTCTGTATGATTCCAGTACAGGTTAAAATGAAATATATGGAGATAACGAACAGTATTCAAGCTCAAAGTCCATTAAACAATAAAATTTTGGAGCAGAGCAAACACGGACCTCTAAAACATCAGAGGTGGGATCAGGTGCCATAGAGGAATGAGCATCCTCTGCCAACCGGTCACACCCGCCGTGTGCTCCTTGTCATGATCGGGAAATAACGGAAAAATCCGTCGACAATTCAGTGTGTAAATAATTAGTATGAAAAACGTCAGTCAGTATTTGACTTAATGATAAATTGTATTTGCTGACAAGGTCATTGTATCGAACATAGAACTTATGAAATGACGACTTAAAATGAGACTGTTGATTCTTGTTTCGTCAACTTGTTTGTCAATAGCTTGCCTTGTTTTAAATTTAAATTGTTCATACGCAGAGCAAGCTCTTGCGTATCGAATACACTGAGAGATATAAGAATGTTAAGAAAAGTAGAACTGGTGTAAAATCTTGCAACAAAGCCTTCATCCATCGCCTATAATTAGTTCATACGTTTTGTTTGTTCGCTGTTTAATGTCCCTCTGGAGAATTTTTTACTCATATGAAGACGCCACCACTTGCCAGTGGAGGTCTGCAAATTTAGACCTACATCCAGTGCTCGGGGCCATTGAGCAGTGAGGGATCTTTCTTGTGCCAGCACCTGCTGCGACAAGGGACCTCGGTTTTTACTGTCTCGCATAGTTCATATGTAATTTGGATTGTAAATATTATTTGTACTATATGCTTCCTTGTATGAGTATTTAAAATGATAGTCTAGACACCACTTCTGGATCAAATTTCTTTTATTTAGTATATGCATGTGTAAGCATCATTCCCTATAGTTAGGTTAACAATCTTAGATCCTATGGCTTTTAATGTCAAGAAATTCAAAAAGCTAGTCACTAAGATTTAATTTAAAATTTTAACTCAATTACTTCAGGGAATTAATCCCCGAAATATTTACCTATTGCTTGATTAAACAAGAAGCATCGACAAACTTGTCAGATTGTACCAAAGTAACATTTAGAAGAAATTATATTGAGGATGACATATTTTTTATTTTAAAGTGATACATGTACATCTCAGGAAGGAAGAAGTGCACGGGTTGTCAGTAAGAAACATTAGTCTTTTTTCTGTCATCGGTAGATGGCAGGATGAATAATTTGCAAAGAATTTATGAATTTACAGACTGAATTGATGTATCTGTAACGACAACACAGCAGTGCATATGAATTACGTACTGTGCATTTATCATTTTTAGAATATAATAATTACTCTCCCAAATACCTTTCATTTTTTAACTGTGTTTGTTTATTTTTATCTTTATTTATTCTAGGATTTCTTTTTTTCTTTTTGTAATGAACATATTTCCTTTTTATTTTCATTGAAGAAAGATTCAGATAACATCATTTTGAAATAATGTTCAGGACAAAGATGAACGCATATTGCAAAGGTTACCAATATGTTTCTTTCTAGAGCCCCTCTTAAGCTGTAAGCGTTCCCCTGTAATGGCGGGCTTGGCGGGAACAATTCAAACAGCCCTGATGTTTAGTAGTAGTAAGTGACTCCTGGCAAAATGTTGTCATGCGCTACAAGCTACCCTAATGTGGTGAAGCTCCTAATCAGAACACTGCTCTGTATTAGCCTAATTGCAATTAAACACCGGATGTAAAAAACACATTAAAAAACACAAAACTCTCAAATAAGACATTGAAAGCAAATATTTACAATCAATGTCATGGGAGAAGATAATGTCCATGTTTTGTTTTTACTAGACTAAGACTGAAAGTCATTTCCTTTAAAAGAAAGTGATTCTGTGTTGATTGCATCCGGTGTTTTTCTAAGACTGTATCAGGGTCGGTGATCGGATTGATTTTGGGCTTTTCTTGTTGATGTTGTAAGCGTGACGGGAAATCGCTGGTGTTTTTTCTGGCTTTTTTATATTCTACTTACTTGTCTTCATCTGCTAAATTATCCCCAGCTTCGTCTTAAGGTTCTGGCTTGGTATTTTGTGCTGTTTGCTTAATCGAATTTAATGTCTTCTAATGTTTGTTTACTTGTATATTCTAACAAGACTTAATTAGAAGGATACATGAAATTGAAATTGTAAATAAATAATGTGTTGTCATATGTTGAATCGTGTGTTATATGAAAACGCCTTAGAGTTAGTATGTTCCACCTGTAAATCTCGAGAGCATAGCATTGGAAATCTAAAATACATCTTAAGACAAATCTAGATTCGTGCAAAGTACGAGTAGATTTGCCTCTCATATTGCAAAAAAGACATATTGGATTTGTCACGTTTTCTCCATGTCTGTAAAATCAATAACAGTGTACCCTTGATTGGAGTGAAATTAATTTGGTATGTTGTCGCCTATGATCAATAGGTTTGTTACCATCTTGTTTCAAGAAGTTACGTCGCCAAGTCATAGTACAATGATATGATCAACGTACGAGAACTTGATGATATATAACATATATATGTATTATTTGCAACTCATATTTCATTATTCAGATTTATAATTCAGATTTATCTTTTCGTGATAATTTTGTTTAACGTTTACCATCATGCCCAAGCATTGGCTTTAGACCATGTCTTAAGGGGAAGATTTCTTTCTTTCTTAAAAACAAAACAAACATTATTGTGGTCGTTGTTTATTTCAATTATTTATACTAAAAAGTATTTGATTTTTTTTTTTTTTTTTTTTTTTTTAACAAATTAAAGAATCTAAAATGATATCTCAATCTGTAATTTACGTTAACCAAAATTCTTTAACGTTTATTAAAATATTCAATATTCTTATTTCTTGTGAAGAATAACTTCCATTTTTCAGTAAATCAATATAAATAAATCTAGAAAACAGAAATATTCTATAAAAAAGACCTTGGGTTTAAGGCTTTCCTCCATGGATTACCACATGCAAATTTGGGGGATAAATCATGAGCCAACACATAGGTACTTTAATAGGAGACTTTCATTATCATGTTAATCATTTGTATATTAAATTGGAATGCTATATATATTTGTATGCATCTTGTTTTCAAAAGCGATCCTAATCAGAGAAAAGACCAATTCATTTTTTTTGAAAGAGACTAAATAACAGAAAGATTTTTTTTGGGAAGGAGAAATTGTGAAGATAACGAGCAGTGATTACTCCCAAAGAGTCCTTTTCAACAATACAGATGAGCAGAGCAAACTCGGACCTCTGAAAACAGAGGTGAGATCAAGTAAGCGTCCCTGTCCACCGGTTACACTCGCCGTGTGCTCCATTTCATGATTGGGTAAACAAAATAAAAACTTGACAATTCGGTATGAAAATAATGGCCTAACAATGTTTGTGAAACTTAACGACAGATAATATTTGCAAACAAGGTCATTGTATCGACCATACAATTTACGAAATGTCGACCTTAAACGAGATTTTGATGTCTTTGAATCATCAACTTATTTGTCAATAGCTTGTCTCGTTTGAGAAACTGTTTGTATGTAGAACTTGCTCTTCCGCATAGAATCAATTCGTAGATAAAAACGGCATATGCAGACGATGATTGTTTATTGCCACATATATAAGAGAAGTTGAAAATAGCAAAGCTGAAATCACGTTTATTATTAAGATTAGTTGTCAGTTGGTCGTAAATGTCTCTCTCCAGCAACACATCCAAATTAATTTGAAAAAGATGTGTCAGTCTCTGTAATGTCTTTTATTTCGAGTTCAGTGGAATATATTGAATAAATATAGCAATGAAACCGAATATTATGAATTGATAAAAGATCATCATTATATCTACATAACAAATTGAAGGCCACAATATGAGACTTCTTCTTTTCATGTAGAAGTTTTTTGAAAGAATTTTTCTTCATATGAATAAAAATAGACCTGCTAATAACAGAGTTCAAGCTGGGAAATCCAGCAGATTGTTAGAAGGCCTGGTCTACAAAAACTACATAGATATTGTCATTGAGAAACTCAAGCATCTTTTAAATAACGACCTCGGAGTACTTGTGTATAGAATCAGATTTTTTTTTATACAAAATTAGTTTGCAGGTGACCAATGACAAGGTATGCAATTTACGAGTTTCATTATTATCGAAAAAACAATTGTCCATGATGTCAAAAAGTCTGGTCTATAATTTATCGTAGGGAATTGTTGTATATAGTCGTATGATTACGTATGATGCTTTTGTATTAAACAAAATTCTGTGATTTCAAATTTTCTCTAACAAATGATTTAAAATACTCACATATTAAATCCTTTACTAATCCTTTTACTTTAGATGACCTGGACGAAAGTTCTAAGCGCCTCGTAAAAACACGTTGTCAGGCAGGTGTAGAGCTCCCCTCAAACTGTAATTATCAACGACGCCGAAGCCGAGCGGTACTCTATCACCTCTCTGGTCAGTTTGACAGACACAACAGGGCAAAAAGCAAACTGCAGCAGCTAAATAAGGTAAACAAAAGGAGGTAACATGTTACATCCCCTAAGTGAACTGTAGCAGACCATGCTTTTAGATCTGTTGAACTGCTACTGATATTTTATAGAGAATATTACATTTGTACATACTAAAATCCGTATTATATGTCATATCAGACCAAGTATCCCCATATCAAACCAAGAGCCGAAGGCCTGAGGGCTGATATGACATATGATATGGATTCAGTATGCAGTATTCTATTTATCATATATTAAAATACTTAATATGCAAGTTCACATCATGTCTTTTAACAATATTTTTGTGCATATGTTTATAAACATTTTTTTTAAAATCTAATAGAGCCAATTTAAGGTCTTTGAAAACAAATTAAGTCCATAAATTTTATTAAAGAATTATATTAAAAGTATATTTAAATAAAATCAAGTTAATTAACTTTAAAACTTTATAAAAATGCTACTTCCTGTTTGCTTTGGATTTTCGCACGCACGTCAGATACGTGATATGGATTTTCGGACCGGTCCTTGATATGGGGTATTGTCACCCGAATTGCAAAGTGCGGAATCGATGTATTTACTACTAAGTATATAATAAAATAGATTGTTATACCTTTAAAAATTAGTTCATATTAAAATCTTTACTATAAAGAGTCTAACATTTCTAATGTTTTACTGAGTGATCATAAAAAAATCGATGTTTGACCGCAGAGTGGGATGTTGTACCTGTCGATGAGATATTGGACCGCTTACGTCACACTATGGGCGGGGTCAGCTAAATCTTATTTGCATTTGCTGCTATGGAAGCCAGCACAAGATACATGTATAACAAAAAAAAAAATTAAAAGGTATAACAAAACATTTTTTACCTGTGTTATCGGGGAAAATACGTTTTCTCGACCTCACGAACCAAAGTGTTTGGTTCTTGGTTCCGACAAAATACATGTTGCCCTCGAACCCAGTTAATAAATGTATATTATTGACTGATTTGTGCAATCGGAAGAATTGGTATCACTATCACAAAAGTACTAAAATTTATACCGGAAATAGGATGACATGGATGGCTTGCAATAGAAGAACTCAAACAATTTGTGAACATGAAACAGGTGAGATAACGAACAGTGATCGATCTAAAAAAAATTACTGATAATACAAATCTGTGTATAGGGCATAAAACACGAATCCCTGGAAATTCTAGAGGTGGGATCAGGTGCCTAGGAGGATTATGCACCCCCTTTCGACCAGTCACACCCACCGTGAGCCTTATGTATTCATCAGGTAGACGGAGTTATCAGTAGTCAAATTTAGTATAAAAACAAAGGCCTAGCTGTTGGTGCGAGTATAAAAACAAAGGCCTAGCTGTTGGTGCGAGTATAAAAACAAAGGCCTAGCTGTTGGTGCGAAATATAACTGTCAAAATTCGACCAAGTGATAAATTATATTTGCTAACAAGGTTATTACAACGATCATTGAATTTATGAAATGCTGACTTTAAGCGAGGTTGTTGAAATCCTTGTAATATTAACATATATGCCAGTAGCCTGCCTCGGTTGAAAAATTGATTGTACTCATGCTCTGGAGTATCAGAGTAAGTTGGGAGATATAAACACCATATGCATGTGATAGTGGAATATTACTACAAAAATAAGGAAAGTTGACGATGAAAAAGCAGTCTTCTCGTTTGTCATACAGTTTAGTTGTCAGTTGACCCTTATTGTCTATAGTCAGTAAAATATCCAAATATGAAACAGATATGGCAGCCTCTCTGATGTATTTTATTACGAGTCTTATGGAATATATCAGGTCGACATGTGAATGGAAGTAACAATAGATAATTGATAAAACGCCGTATACATGTATTTGAATACCGAGTTGAAGGCCACAGCAGTATCTATCACATTAAAATGCTAGTATTAAAGTGATGAATTAAGAAAAAAAAATGATATATATTAAATGTTACAAAAGCAAATATAAAATAAACTCTTAATCAAGAAATTAAGAAATTTTCTCATTTTTTATACCGCCGATGCATCAGTCAAAATATGACCCACCAACTCGTCCCTTAAAATGGTGTAAATAAACAGTTTATATATATAATGATAGAAACAAATTGCTTGTATCTCACTAAAATGTGTACCTGCGAAGAGATCACCTGTAACATGCATTATGTTCATATTTTGCAAATCACCCTAGCATATTTTAATATATGAATTCGATTTTATCAACAAACTTTGAACCATTATCTTTTTTTTCAGTTGTTTGACATTTTAAACCAGATGTCAACATGTATTAAGTGTTGGTTTATTTTAGAATTCACTCCTATGGACTTGTTTCTTGCAATATTAAATAATTACGTTTTAAAGTGTCTTAATGGAGATATCGACTGATGTGTGATTGTTTTTTGATATTTTTAATGACGCTTTCCCTGTGGTGACGCCTATCAGACAGATCCCAATTTTAAATCTATTTTTATTTCATTTACACCATTCATTTTTTACATTTGTTTTTCAGTGACTGGTAACGGTAATCGAAAATGCTTTGTTGGAAATGAATGTTTCATTTAACACTTTAATGGGTATTTTATAAGGTATCTGTGATTCTGTATCACAGAATTCGTAATTTTTATAAAGTAAAAGCTTTTGGACTTGTTTTACTCTAAGGTTAATGATACCAAACTAGAAGAAATTCAAACTTCAAATTGCATTGATCTAGCAGCGCCACTTTAGTAAAATTTTATAATGCCGTAAAAGTTTCAGTAACATCAGTTTTTCAAATTTTTCTTAGAATAAATGCATACTGATTAATCTCTCCATAGGTTTATAGACTATGATCTTATATCGATAATCAAATGTAGAAGTAGTGACAAGCATATATTTCTAAATGTATTTTTTCTAATGAAATAATGACTTTAGTCAATTGAACATCAATAAAAGCCATAATAAATTATAAGTGAACAAAAGTCGATATTTAAATAATTGTTATAAACACTAATATAATTGTTTGTTCATTATCATTTTATAATGTTTCATATTGTTTTAGTTGACAGGATCGATATCAGGGAAAATGCCTGAATACAAAGTCCAGGAAGTAAAGAAATCCAAGTATGTGATATCACATTACGGCATTTTCAAGATCGGCTGGGATTGGCTAATACTTCTATGTACCTTTTACACTGCCATTATGGTGCCCTACAACGCTGCATTTACAGACATGGAAAATGACAATAGCAAAAGCTCCCTGTACTCAGATATCGTGGTTGAGATTATGTTTATTATAGGTAGGCTTCAAAATATTAGTTTTGCATTGATTTTAAATTTATTTCGTGGTTAGAACAACATTAAGACTATTGTTATACACCTCGCCAAAACTATGTACAATTTTCGAATATGCTTTATGATTAACAACTTATCAATTTTGGTCTATGAAACATGCTCATGTTTGAATTATTTTGTAGATATTGCTTTGAACTTCCGAACTTCTTTCATTGATAAGAGCGGCCATGTTGTTTACGATGGGCGGCAAATAGCCAAGCATTACGTTACTAGCTGGTTTCCATTAGATTTGCTAGCTGCTATTCCATTTGACTTAATGTTTTTGCTGAATAGATTTTATAAATTAAACACAGTGAGTAGTTTTCATCATTATGCATTTATAGAAACAAGCACTCTGAGAGTATTGCATTAGCAATACTAGTCCCCTACCGGCAAGTGTAATCTGGTTCCCGTTAAGAATTGAAAATGCCATAATTCCGTCAAAAATTAATGAAGCGGGACGAAATGCAAACTTGATCTATAACTAATCAAGGTAAAACCACATATCAAAAATCAGCTCAATATCTACAAGCGTTTAGAAGAAAATTGCGGAAAATCCGTAAAAATTGAAAAGGCCGTAATTCCGTCAAAAATCAATGAAGCGGAACGAAATGCGAACTTGATCTGTAACTCATCAAGATACAGTCACGTACCAAAAATCAGCTCAATATCTGCAAGCGTTTAGGAAAAAAGTGCGGAAAACCAAGTGGGACAGACTGACAGACAGAGGGACAGACAGACAGACGGACGGACAGACTCAGAGGAAACCTATAGTCCCCTCCGGTTTCACTGGTAGGGGACTGATAAGCCACGAATTTTGAATTTAAAGGATATATTTCTTATGTACCTGTATGAAAATTTTATACGCTTTAAGTAAATTGAAATGAATTACAGAAAATGTTATTCTAAATTTTTTTCTCAGGAGGTCTTACGACATTTGCTAACATTGAAATTAACGCGCTTGCTCCGGTTGGCACGCCTTCTTCAGAAGATTGACAGGTACTCTCAGTACAGTGGTATGGTTTTGGCTCTGTTCATGTCTATGTTTGCTCTACTAGCTCACTGGTTGGCCTGTGCTTGGTATTTCATTGGAGACACGGAGCTGCAGAATAATGCCAACTGGACTGTCGGTAATATCATTTTTATCTGAAAAAATTAATACAAAGAATGTGTCAATGAAGTATGCGCTTTACATACAGTTTATCGAAGAATTCAAGTTTTCACACCACTATACTAGTAACTCATTGTCCATGTATTAATTACCATAATATCCACATTTAAGAAAAGTCATGTTTCCTTTGAACAGCAAAGTTTTACAACATTCTGAATATCTAAATAAAATTCAATCTGATGAGATTTCAATGTCAATTCTATTTCAGTATTTAGATTTGAATTTCTTCTTTTAGCTTTAACTTTGTACAAAACGAATTTTTATTACAACATTTGAAGTAATTATAAAGGATTAATCTTTGTATGAAAGGATTTTCCTACCATAAGTAGACTTTTTTCAGTGATATTGCGGAGCAGATTAATAACCGTTAATATATCTTAAAGCCAGACACTGTCTGGTTAATCACAGCTGCAAAAGGACAGGAATGTCTAATTTCTATGACAAAAATCTTGATCAAAAGTAAGATGAAAGAAGTTCTTCGAATTCATTTCCATATATGTTTACTTTTTGGTGCTATTACTGCAGGGTTGGCATGTGATTATTTAAACTCATATTGCTAGGTTTTACATGAGACCCGAGATCAGCTAATAATTTTAATTAAAAATGTGTCCACACAAATCAGCAAAAGCTCTTCTCCTTCAGAAAGTTGTGAGTGGGAGACAGATTTATGAAAAAATTTTGAGCACAAAAACAAGAAGAAAGGAACTATATAGTCTTTGAATTTATATGAATCAATGTCATTTTATCCTTTAGATAAGGTCATAACAATAATAAAAATGTTGATGATTTATCTAAAGAAAGTTACCTGATTATTGAAATGGCCTTATCCTGGCCCATTTAAACAGCAGTTTACAAAAATAAATACATAGATATAAATCAATGTTTCGTATTTTATTTGCCTCGGTCAGTATAGATATTTTTCTGGTGAATATCAAACTATATTAACCACCTAAAAAGCCCAGAATTATATAATATTACATATAAAGGTTATTTGTTCCATAAATTAGCAGCGGAATATTGAAAAGAATTATCGTATACTTTTTGCGATACATGGTATTGGTGGTCATAGTTGATATCAGAACACAACTGATCAACATCAGAAGAAAGAAACTAACTAAACCTAAAGTATACGTTGATTCAGGTGTCATACTGTAAAATGTTTCGTACATTTATACGTATTAAATACGTAAAATGGTTGATTATCCCTCGGAACGAAGTTATAGGTGATATAGTAACGCGCGTGTGTATGGGTTGGTGGGTGAGTGAGTGCGTGCCTAAAGGAAGTGGTGTATTACATCGGGTTTATTGGCATTTTGTCGCCTTTGTGTTCTTTTGTGAGGGGATGCTCCGCTGTGTGGGACCCTTGTTAAAATATGATCATTTGCCCACACTTCTTTCATACAATTATCACGACAATTATGTAGTTGCATTGTATACATACCCCTGTTGCCTTTTTCTTCTTTCTTTTCGTCTTTTTTTTTCTTAATTTCGAGGTGGCAATACCTTGATTGTCCAAAAAACAAAAAAAAGGAAAGAAAAAAAACCGAAACAATGGTTTATAGACAGCAAATTTTACATGTATACATTCTAAAGTCTTTTTCGATTGTTCTAAATTTAAATGTGAATATTTAAATAATTAATGTATAAAAATTTAAACAAACTGCAATTAATATTACAAATTTTCTTCTTCTTCTTCTTCTTTTGTGTCTGATGCATTTGAATTTATTTCAGAAGTTAATGAAGTTATTTTTTGCTCTTGAATAAAACATTATTTTCCTTTCTGTAATCAACACAGTTTTGATTTCGGAAACTAAAATTTTCATTAGATTTATACTACTTTTATGATATGCATGAAAAAGCTGCTTTATCAAAAAACAAAAACACAAAATAAAGATGGTTTATGTTCTGTAACTAGGAAAGTGGACCTTATATACAGCCTATCTTACATATAATGCTGTAACAAGCATAAGGAATCTGAATTAAGTTCTTACAAAAAAAATAGTATGCATGAATTTGGAGAGTACTTACTGGAAACTAGTTACAGCTTGTACAATGTACAACTTTTGACGTACATGTGTATTATTATTATTTTCTACAACTGGCTCACATAATGTGCAGTGGCAATTACCACGTGCACCCTTTATTTTACATTGTGTGCACCTTTTTACCTCAGTTTTATTAATTTTTTTTTTTCAATTTTTCATATTATTTTCTAATTTTTTCATCCATTGCCTACTTAAAAAATTTTTACGATTTTAAATTTGGAAAGTAAAATTTGTTCTATGCATTTGAATATATTTCAATATCTTGCGTTTAACTACACAGGTTGGTTGTATGAACTGGGTGAAAGAATAGAACAACCAGTCACTAAGTCGAATCCTCCTGATACATTCACTGCTTACGTCACGGCATTGTATTTTACCTGTAGCAGCTTGACAAGTGTAGGTTTTGGAAATGTCTCAGCCAATACAAATCCAGAGAAAATTTTCTCCGTGTGTGCAATGCTTATTGGTGGTAAGGTTAAAGTTAAAATGTATTTAAACTTTTTTTTTAATAAAGATAGTTTTTTAAATCGATTTTTGATGTTTTTGATGAAATTTGATTTTAATGAAAATGATGGAGAGACGTAAACTAAGATACAGATTTCTTTTATAATAGGAATACATGTATACGTTTTTCGTTTTTTCAGCTATGATGCATGCTGTTGTTTTTGGAAATGTTACCGCCATTATTCAGCGAATGTACGCCAGACGTGCTAATTATCACTCCAAAACCAAAGACTTGAAGGATTTCTTCAGAACCCATCATATTCCCAAGCCTCTAAAACAGAAGATGCAGGAGTACCATCAAACTATGTGGTCCATGAACAATGGCATCGACACGATGGAAGTATGATGACAAAAAGTGCATCTCTTTTTTAAATCTTATTAAGTCATATCTGTGTAGTTCAGTATACTACAGATTTTAAAAAAAAACTGACTTCCCTTTTATTTTGATATGTTTATGTTCATTAGACTAGTTTAATGGTACTATATCAACCATTTATATCTTAGATTTCATATTTTGATGAAGACTCTTATTGTGAACATATCATCTAATGTACAGAAAAGCCATGCAAGTTTCAAGATTTTTTTAGAAAAGATATAGAAGAACTTAGAGGCGAGTTACTTTTATAGGTTCTTTGTCTCGATTCATTTTAATAGAGAAATCAAATACACTTAAAATCATTCCTTTCTAGATTTTAAAAGATTTCCCTGAGGAAATGCGAGGAGAAATCGCCCTTCATTTGCATAAAGACATTCTTACTTTACCGATATTTGAGAATGCAACACAGGGATGTCTCAAATCTATTTCTCTTCACACCAAACGAGCTTTCTCAGCACCAGGGGAATTCCTAGCACACAAAGGCGACGCCATTAATTACGTGTATCTGCTATGCGCTGGATCTATGGAAGTCCTCAAGCAAGACATGGTCGTTGCCATTTTAGGTCCGTCCCAAAAACCAAATAGATGTATTAGATATTTATTTTCGTAGATAAACTTAATATTTGCATATTTACCCACTGTACATTATTTTTTTTTCGCTTGGGATATCAGACAATCACTCAAATGCATTCAAAGCATGCTTATCTTATATTTCAGGCAAAGGAGATCTCTTCGGAACAGATATAAATTTTGACGATCCTGTTGGAATATCCAGTTGTGACGTAAGGTCGCTAACGTATTGTGACCTTCAGTGCATTAATATGAAGGGCCTTACAGATGTCTTGGCTCTCTATCCAGACTTTGCTGAGAAATTCCAAAATGATATACGTCATGATCTGACGTATAACCTAAAAGAGGGCTTTGACGAAAGTGAGGTACATGCAATAGTAATGTAGATGTATATTTCTTAATCATCAAACTATACATTGCATTTATAAAAAAAATTGTTTAGTTTGCTTTTTGGTTTTGGTTTTTGGTTTATTTTATATTTTTCTTTCTTGTTTGCTGTCCTTAATATTTGCCAGTGATACTCCAATATTACCTGTGAACTGTATGATATTGATATGAACAAAATACAATGTAAGTAAATGTTACAATGGTAAGGGCTTTCGAGCAACTGTATAATTAAAATATCACAAGATTAAATCAAAATGAAAAGCCTTCAAATATTGTACATTTAATTTGATATTTCTATTTTTCAAAAAAATGCCAAAATTATGAAACCATTTATATTCCTCAGATTTTTTTTTTTTTTTTGTAAGTTGACTTTGGAAACAAGGTCTTCCAACAATTTCTTGCAATTATGATGGGCAGTAATTGTGCTCTTCTAATGGCCGACCTGTTTTTATATTCATATGAAGAAGAATGTAATAAAAGAAACTTCAACAAGGAGAGGTAGAAAATTCTTAATGTAAATTTCAATTCGATGTTTCGATACATTGATGACGTTTTATCAATTAACAATAGTTGTATAGTTATTTTATTCATAATCCAAGTGAACTAGAAATAAAGGACACCACATAGTCTGCCACATCTGCATCATACTTAGATATTTAACTGCCTATAGACGTTAATGGCCATCTAAAAGCTAAACTATATGACAAATGGGATGACTTCAGCTTTTCTATTGTCAATTTTTTATTTATGTAGTAATATTCCCTGTGTATGGTGTTTTGTCTTCCAACTGATTCAAAACATGTACTCAAGAGCAAGTTCTGAGCACGACTAATTTTTAAACAGAGGTCGACTAATTTTTAAACAGAGGTCACCGACTAATAAGTTGATGTTGCAGGATTTTCAACTTACTCGTTTAAAGTCACATTCTATGGTCGTTATAGTGACCTTGTTTGCAAATGAGATCTATCGTTAGGTTGTATTTTGACTGACACGTTTTCCACCAATTGTTAGGCCATTGTTTTTACCTGATCAATACAGCCATACTGAAGACTCTTAACGGGTGTGACCGGTCGACAGGGGGATGCTTACTCCTCCTATGCCCCCTGATCCCACCTCTGGTGTTTCCAGCGTCTGTGTTTTTGCCCTGATGACGATTTGTATTCTTTTCTGAATTTTTAAGATTGATAACTGTTCGTTACCTTCATCTTTTACATTTTATACACTCAAAAAAAATCTTTTAAATCTAACATGCTTTTTGAACTAATTAAATGCATATTTTGGAAATAGATATATTGCTACTAAACAATGGCGCAAACAAAGGATGCAATAAATTTTGATTTTGCAAGTTTTTATATTTATGATTGATAATTTAATTTGCCATACTAAGTTGCTCCCTTTTTTGCACGCATACAAACTTTACTGCAAATAAGCATGTTATGATCTACGTTTTCACAGAACTTTTTTCAAGAACTGTACACTGTTCTCGCAAGAGTGCCTCCACTTATTTTTTAAGTTATAAGTTGTTGGCATGTTTTTCATCCTACTTTTTTTTTCCCTTTTTTTCTTTTTTTTTTTTTCAAATATAGGATTTCAATCTGAAATCCAATATTTGACGCCCAGTGTTTTTATTTGGGTTAGAATGGAGACTGTTCCATGGCAACGGAAGTGTAGAAACTGCATTTCATTTGAGAAACTTTCTTGTGCTTTTTGAGTTCATTTAACACTGGCGTGTTGCTTAAATTAATATATACAAGTCTTTTTCTTGGAAATTCTTAATAAGCACGCATAGTTCGAACACCTTATAGTATCTTCTGATGAGCACATTTAAGTTTCTCAAACGCCATGCATATTCTACACTATAACGCGGCGAGGAAACAACCTCGACTGAAACTCAGTCTAAAATGATTAAGGTGAAATTCACGGTGGAATAAGAAAATTTTGATTTTAACATGCCAATGACTGAAAATACGTATGGAAAACACTTCAACGGAAATATTAATGGTAGTCAAATCCTAAAACGTTCTATGTAAACCTTAATTATAGCAAACCTATTGAAATTAAGATTGTCATTCGTGCAAAAGGGAGTGCAACAGAAACTAGGAAATAAAATATTAATCAAAATGTTAAAACTATAATAAAATCACATCTTTAATTTGCACCTTTGTTTAGTAGCATTAAATCTACTTCCAAAGTGTACATTTAATTGGTACACAAAAACATGTTAAGTTAAAAAGTTTTTTGAGCTGTACGCAGTCCACTTTCATTGTGACATTTAAATACTTTGTATTATAATCTTAAAAAAATTTAAAGTGATATAATAATTCTTTCTGTTTCATGATGAATAAAATTATCAAAATATCCATGACATATTCAACAGAATAGGCGTAAAATTTTTAACTATTTTAAACTATGTCTGTAGAGTGACTCTGAGTGCAAAGGAGCAGGGAGAGATTCCAAACTGCCATCAATTTCGGAGGACGAAGAAGAAACGGACAGTGACACAGTGTTTACAAACAAAACCGCAAAAAACAACAACACATACAGCGCCATTAAACCAATACGTGGTGGTGAAAGTGAATCAATTACCCCGTTATTAATGGCGGAAAAACAGGAAGTAAATAAAATACCTAATGGAGAGGTACACAATCCAAGGTTGGTCTCATAAAAAGTATATGTTTTAAAGTTTGACTGTTTCAATTATTTTGCAAAATTTAAATGAAAGTAAGCGTTCATTTATACATACATACATATGTATGTAACCCCAAACTAGCCTTTTTAATTTATAATTATAGAGAGAAGGAGTGTGTGAGAGAGAGACCAAATTGATTTCCATAACATAAAATATATTACATGTGTGTTAGACATCTTTACTTAAAGTGAAAATGCGGATTTTTTCCCCTTCGTTTTAAAACATAAAATATATTTTTTAAAAAACTTCTTTTTGTTCCTCTCATTAGATTGTCAAGACAAATACAAAGTACTTTATGCTTACATAGATTACTTTCACAAAATACATGTCTTGACAAAAATTTAACTTAAATGAAATAATCATTTTAATATTTCAAGAAGGACACGTAAATAAATTTTATCATATTTTAAAATATGCTTAAATTAGCGAGTTATATACTATGTTAGGACAATATTTTATAGGGAGGTCCAGAGCCCCCCTTCTAAGAGGAGTATCTTACCTTCCCGTCGTGTTTTGACCAACAGGGTGGCACAAAGAAGACGTCAGCGACACACAAACTGTAATGTCTTATATACCTCATTAGTCGTCCCTAATTTCTTTTTTTCTTTTTAAGTAGATTTGTTCCAATGTGACTTTCAATGGTTGACATTTAAAAAAAATTATCGCTTGTTCATTGAAGAGAAAGAGGACAGGGATAATTATTTTCTCATTATATTTATTGTTTAATTGCAGCAACTGAACACCTGCATGGAATGGAGAGTTTATCAAACTCTATAGGGAATCTTCATAATGAGATGGAAGGGACGAAAACAAACATGTGTCATATTGAACAGAATATGAATCGAATATCTCACGAGGTATCACACATCGACACCAGCCTAAAAACTGTGATCCGCCTCTTGTCCCAAAGTTGCACCTCGGAATCATCCTATTTTCCCGACACCCCGATGTCGCCGTTGGATAGGCCACACTTCTCACTGAGCTCTCATAACAGTGACGATATAATCACTTCAGACATAGACACTGTGACGGGACATAAAAAACTGGAAGTTCCGAATGTCTTACACAACAAACAGAATAAGTTAGGGAACCGTAGATACGTTCCTGTGCATGATCTGGGCGGTAGTCAACCCACTATGGAATCGCTTGATGTTCCACAAGGGGAAAGCAGGGACAAGTTTTCTTGTGAAAGTGTTTTAAATGTACGAAATTCTCAATCGTCTAACAAACGAAACATTCTAGGAAAAGGTTCCAAGGTGTATCGAAGGGCAGCATCAGAACCTAGAACTTTTAATAATTTAAGTGACGCTCATCGACAAATGCTGATCAAGGACGCTTCTGTAGAGGACGTGTCACGGCGCCATAATGCGTATAAATACCAAAGACCTAGATCTACTTTTTTATTGGAAACTAATGATCTCTAAGTTTCACCGAGTTGTCACTGCTGTTGGCTCTTTTATGAAGGGCTTAACTACTGTTATTTGTTCATTGTTATTCATGTACCTATCATTTTTGCTATTGCATTTTATTAATGTTGAATTTCAAGATTATAATTAATTAAAGAGAAAGGGCTAATTGTATTCGGCGCGTCGGCGCGCCAGCGCGTCCATCTCAACCCGATATCACAAAAGTATTTTCTCCCTGCATTAAAACACTCAAATGACATCGATTTTCTTTATAATTTAAGCATTATCGGTTATATTCAAGTCGACAGCCCGAGCCCGATTGAATTTTTTTGTTGGGTGGATCCAGAAATTTTTCCCTAGGAGGTGTTGGCTCAAATCGCAAGGGGAAGAGGTACAAGGCAAAGCTTTAGTAATTTTACTATGTCAGTTCAAATAAATTTGAATTTTCCAGGGATCCGGATCCCCTTTGATCCTTGCATGCCTTACCACAATTTGTGCTAGAGTAATCCGAAATATACCCCAATTTTTTGAGTTGGCCTATACTTTCGATTTCTCTCTCTCTCTCTCTCTCTCCAAACATTAACTATATACATGTATAGCATTTAAAAATATTTAGTGTTTTGGTTTTTATAAATTTTCTTTATGTATAACAAAAATTTACCGGTATTACGTAATGACCCTAGACATTAACTATATACATGTATAGCATATAAAAATATTTAGTGCTTTGGTTTTTATAAATTTTCTTTATGTATAACAAAAATTTACCGGTATTACGTAATGACCCTAGACATTAACTATATACATGTATAGCATTTAAAAATATTTAGTGCTTTGGTTTTTATAAATTTTCTTTATGTATAATAAAAATTTACCTGTATTACGTAATGACCCTAGACTCTAGAGTTTAACCCCCTTTTTAGAGACTTGATTATCATGGCAATAAGCTGCAAAACATTGGTATCAGTGTTTGACAAATATTCCTTGTTACGTATTAAAATATTACTACTACTAAAAATGAGCTTGTTCTTTATTTGAGCAGGGGGAGTAACTTTAGTTACAGATACATAAAGTCCTGCCTCCCCATATTGTAGTCTTCTCAACCACTAAGCTCATTACAAATCCAATCATATAAAATACATCTACAATGGTTCCATCAACATTCCTTAAACATTAATTTTTTTTTTGTTTGTTTGTTTGTTTTGCAGATTGAAAAATTAAAATAGAATTTGATGATCATTAAAGTAAGAAGCATATCAAAAAGGTTTATGATGACCTGTGTTTACGAAATACTGAATCATTCGCTGATTGCACAAAAATTGATGCCAATGAAAATTGATAAAATTAGTGTATTAATTAGTGGATAAAAGAATATGAATAAAAGAAACAACAGGCGGTTAAATAATGGTATCAGGTTCGTTCGCCCTATCTAGCTGTTCGCATGAATCCGTTCGCGCAGGGTCCGTTCGCCATTATTCTTGTTCGCCCTATATCTCGTTCGCCCTATTATATATACAGTATATAGTAAATATCAACATTTATTATTAATTTTATTAAATATTTTACTTGGTGTTTTTTTCAAATGTTGCTACAGTATTTTTTTTTATTAACCGTAATCTTAATGAAGTAATTCAAATTTGATATTTATGCTCTTTACATGCTTAATTGATTTAATTATACTTAATAATGTCACTGTAATTTAGGGGATCATACAATCTGCGTTATGTTCAATTAAAGGACTGAGATGTTAATTTCTGTTGGTCTGCTGGGTCTTTGATTAGTACAGGTATAAATTACCGGTATAGTGTGACCACATGCATTCGTCTGTTGTCTCCCGTGTGCAATTTATGTACCAATGTACATATAATTTATTTAAAAAATCCATTGGTTAATTATCCAATTTCTGCAATATAAATAAGGCGAACGGACCCTGTGCAAACAAGTGATGTTGAAGCTTCAAAAACAAAATTCCATCTATAAAACTTTCTCTTTTTAGCCGAGCGCATTGCTCGTAGAGCAATAGCCGGTTTATGTTACGGTGTTCAACCGGAAATACTGCTTCCTCACCGCCAAATTAAATATGAGTAAGAATAAAGTACGTATGCTCAACCACCTTTGAAGCAATACAAACACTTAATTAAACAAATTTAATTTAACTAAGAAATTCTCTAAAAAAAAAAAAAAAAAAAAAAAAAAAAAAAAAAAAAAAAAAATTGATAATATACTTTCTCCCCTTTTCTTCAATAGATTATTTGTTTAAAAGATGCGATAGGTAATTTCATCAAGTCTGCCAGCTTCACATTCTATAGATAAAGGTTGTGTTACCAGGCTAATGCGGGGAGCATGTGACCCGATGCACACCTTTATGCAAAACTCCCCGCTGAGGACCCGTCTGTGTATAAACGTTTGACCTTGCTGCATCAATGTAAATTCAAACTGCATTTTATTTTATTTTATCTTTTAAACATTTTTTATTTATACTATATGCCATAAATATATTTTTGTGTTACATATTCTTCCAGTGTCTTGTTGTTATTCATCTGTAATTACAATGTATGTTTCATGTAAAACGGACTTGTTCACTTCTCTGTAAATGAGCCCGGCTCTCTGTACTTCTCAGTACTTTGATTATTTATTATATCGAGCCCGATGCTAACAATATTGTATAAGCGATAATTTATTTTATAAACAAAATCTGTTGCGCGCCGACGCGCCGAATACAATTAGCAAGAGAAAGCGTTTTGCTAGATTTAACCACTGATTTCTACAATTTCATAGTTTGTTCTAGATTCAAAAGAAAAGATTCAAAATGTATTTTTGCTGCATGGATTAATTTTTCACTTACGTACACTTATATAAAATATTTTTTGAATTCAATCTTTAAATATTTTTTTTATTTCTTGTGGATTGTTTATAGAATTTTATGAATATTTCAGATAAACTTTGTACAGACCTCCAAATACTCTTCGCATTTTTATTATCTATCTTTATTTGTTAAGCATTTGTAATTATTTAGTTATTAAATGATGTTGGATATTTGTTGTTATGTCATCACCATAAAGATATGACGATATTTGAATGATTTGTTTTACTTTCTTTTTTTATTGCTGTTTAAGTAACATACTAGTACAGTAAAACACTTAAATGATTTATTAATAGTCTTGACAATCTTTATAGTTCTTACAGTTAAAATGAGAGTCCTATTTTACTAGTATACTGCAAGCGGAATTATGATATTGTACTGTTGCAATACTAATATCTTTCATAAAAACAGACAATTTCCAAAGATCAAAACAAATAAGTTTTAGACTTCCCTATGAAAGTGAATATTATTTTGATATTAACAAACATTTTAAGACACCAAAGGCATTTTTTTTCTTATATTTTGACGGGAATTAAATAGGAACCCTTTCCTTTCATTCTACTGACATCTACTACTTTCATAGAATTTTTACGTGATAATCTTCATACTCTCAATTATTAAATGGCTAAAAAAAATTCTATGTCATATTATGTTCTTCTTTGCGATTCTTGACCCTGAGAATCTAACAGCTATTGTTTAATCTATTACATGTATTTAATTATTCTAACAGCTATTGTTTAATCTATTACATGTATTTAATTATTCTAACAGCTATTGTTTAATCTATTACATGTATTTAATTATTCTAACAGCTATTGTTTAATCTATTACATGTATTTAATGATTTATCAATTCATACTATAACCTGAGCATTCAAACTGAATAGGAATAGTTAGTACTGCATATCTTTGCTACCAATTACATGTGAAAACTTTCCAGTGGTTATCGGATACTACAGAGCTCTAGTTGCATAAGAATTTATGTTTGCAGTCGTATTCATTATCCATTAGATATTACTGAAAGTAAAGTTGCAGACATTACGTAAATGAAGTGCAAGCACACACATATTTCCGTTTCTATATCCAAATTTTTGTTAACGTTTTCTTTTCTTTTGTTTTTCGTTGATATGGAGTTTCTCCCTATGATCAGAGACAAAACGGGCACCTCACAACATGTAAATAGGACTTAAAATGGGGTTTATGTTTCCTTAAAAAGTTAATGCTTCAATTTACAATTCTTTGCTATCAGTATAGAAAACACAGTGGATGAGGCCATGTATTATCGGAGCAACTGGCATGTAGCTAAAACACCGAGCTTAGAGAGCAGCAAATTCACTTTCCTAACGACCCCATCGCACACAGGGTATGTCCCTCTGTATGTGCAATACATCTGAGATGCCTAGGGCCGCCAGATTCCCTCGTCACCCACCAGAGAACAGGATATTCCTGTCTGGTGAGGGTAATACAGCCTGTGCTTGATGTTTAACTTAACAGTTATATGTCATTTAACCAAACATTGACGCAGGACCTATCTACAAGTAACAGAGTCTACCCTCCGAAAAGACTTTATTATTGTGGTATTTATCTCAAGGTCCACTACAATTTGATTTGACTTTCGGAAACAAACATCGAATTACACAAATGATGTAATATGTGATTGAACCCTGACTGACTTTTAAAAAAAATTACAGGTAAGAAACTTCCTATTTCGATGTATGGCATCTTTTTTAGAAGTGAAGTTCTTGCAAGATGATTGTTGAATATATAGTGTCAAGAACATCTAACATTCATTCTTTTAGGGTTGATAAATTTTGAAATTAATTAGAAAATTAAGAAAACTGAAGGATTAATAGACTTAAAGTCTTCACTATTTTACGTTATATTAAAGACAGCAATATTTAAATTAGTTCATGGAATTTTGGATATTTGAAGTTTGGAATACCTTTTAGCGGGTTTCTTTAGCGGATGTAAAATTTGGCGTTTTGCTTGCTCAAAGGCATGCCAATAATTTTTGCGGATCTTTTTTGGCGGAGACGGAGTACCATGATTTTGAAAAAGAGAGGAAATTCGTCTTCTACATGAGTTTTCAGTACGTTTAATAAACACGAACGTTTGAATACAGATTTAAGCAAAACTTTCAGTAAAAAAACCAATACCAGATAAAAGTTAAATTGTTTAACAACAGACTGATCAAAGTTATCTTTCTTCTCTTCAGTACTTATACGCAAGGGTGAAAATTTAGCGATTAAAATTTTAGCGGCGTATTTCAAAACCGCTAGAATAAGCCAAAGTTGG